AAGCAAAAGCTACTGATTTAAGGGAAAAGAGGCGTATAGAAGGCTAAGAAAATGTGTAGAAGGGTTCTGGGAATTAGAAGAAATTTTTTGAAGATTTTTGGCGTTTTTTTTCTGGGAATTTCTGGAAAATTTCAGATTCCGGTGAATTTTCAGGTGAAGTTTAAATTTTTCGACGAAAATTTCGGCCAACCTTGAAGTTTCCGGCGACCTGCCCAGTTTTCGACAAAGAATCCCAGAAATCGGTGATCTCCCGGTGAACTTTCGACGAACTTTCGATGAAAAAACTCAGATTCCGACGACAAAACCCAGAATCTGGTGAATCTTTAACCGGAGTTCTTCGGCCTTTTAGAGAGAAGGGAGAGAAAAAAAAAAGAAGAGCGAGAGAGGGGAGGAGCGTTCTGTCGAAAAACAGAGGGAAGTGCCTTTTATACATTCTCAAAACGACGTCGTTTTGGCCTTAAGTAACCCAGAGGATCCGCGCGTTTTGCCAAGATCCGACCCTACCCGAGCGTTGACCCGCTTCCTGACCCGCGTGTCTGCCCCCTCCAAGCCAAGCCGAGCTCCAAAGCCGCTTCTCCGAGCCGTTTTTTCTTCCTTGAGTCGAGCCGAGCCACGACCCGAGCCGCTCCAGATTTTTTTTTTGAATTTTTTGAATTTTCATTTCTTTGTTTATTTGTTTTTTTTATTTTTTTATTTATTAGATTAGGTTTATTTAATATTCTTTTTATTTTATTTTTGTTTTACTTTTCTTTATTTTTTAATTTTTATTTATTTTTTTATTATTCTATTTTCTTTAAATGAAAATCAAAATTTTCAAAAAAATATTTTTAGGGAAAAGTTGAAAATATCAATTTTTCTTAAAAATAAATTTTCAAAAAAATATTTTTGGAGAAAAGTTGAAAGTATCAATATTCCTTGAAAATCAAAATTTTCGAAAAATATTTTTAGGGAAAAGTTAAAAGTATCAATTTTCTTTGAAAATCAAAGTTTCAAAAAAAAATATTTTTGAGGAAAAGTTGAAAGTATCAATTTTTCTTAAAAATAAAATTTCAAAAAAAGGTTTTTTTGAGGAAAAGTTGAAAGTATCAATTTTCTTCGAAATTAAAGTTTCAAAAAAACATTTTTGGGGAAAAGTTGAAAGTATCAATTTTTCCTGCACAAGAACAATCATCCTTTCTTTCTTTTTATCTTGATTTTGATTTTTCTTTAAATAATCCGACGACGGAGCCTCTGCAAGTGAAACAATAGTTTTTCTTGTATACTCCTGAAGTGAGGGAACTTTTTCAATTTTCTGCTAAAAGTATTAGAGTCAATTGAGAATAATTTTCGATAATTAATTACTTGGTAAAATTTTAAGGCTTTTTGGATAACACAAATTTAAGCTGGTACCCTCTTTTGATGGACTTTGTGAGGGTGCTATAACCTTCCTCACACGTAATCGAACTCCCGAACCTTGTTTTGGTTAGTAGACCTGAACCTATTCTTTTAGGGGCCTTTAAACTTAGGTGTTTCTTGAAAGAACAGATTCTTTAGGTGGTCAATCGTACCTAGATAAAAAAGATTGGTGGCGATTCCCTAAAAACTAATGTCTAGCGATAGATCTCCGGATCTAGAGGTTATGACACAGCCAATATTGCAGTATTCGCGTTGCTGGTTTCTTCTGATTTATGGCACAGAATCAGAGATTGGATTTGAAGGACCATCCGTCTTCGTTGCATCGAGCACAGATAAGTTGCACTAAACATGTTATGTTGAGCCTGACTGTTGTGCAGTCTGCAATAAACTCAAAAACATAGGGAAAGCCGCAATGCTGCTGGACAAACAATCAAATAAACACTTGAAAAGTACAGAAGACAGCAAAGAAACACCAAATCACCAACATTTCATGGTCTGCCATAATTTCTTCTATCAACTCAGCAACTATTTTATCAGCACTATTGTGAACAAAAGCAGCAAATATAGCTGCCTTTAATCCTGCATATAATCAAAGGAACAACTACTTTCATGTCTATTGCAGAGTGGCAATCCCATAACTTTTCATGAGTTTATTTGAAAATTAGCTGATATCGGTTTCTGGAAAAGCATCGATGAACATCATCATCTCCTTCTCACTAAGACCAGAGAAAAAGTAGATTCGAGGCAGTAACTTTGCAATAAGCGGAATGTAATAATCGCATTTAAGCATGAAGAGCTATAACTTAACAGTACCATATATGCTTCAGTATATGAATCACTAATCTGCTAACCATTTCACCCAGAAACAAAATTAAGTACTACCATCTTTCCTTCGATCAATGCAATTAACTGCATTGTTATTTCAAGTAATCTGAACAAAATTAATCTGAAAATAGCCTGAATCTATTCCAAATAAAGAAATAGAATTATAAAAATACTTTCACCTTCAAAAGATATAAGTGAAATCTAAAATACAAAGTCTTTGTTTGCCAAATCCATAAACTGATAGAGGTTTAAGGAGAGGCATCAAGGTTTCTTGTTGTCTGAGATGGGCAGCAGTGCAGGAAACAATTGCAATAATTAATTTCATGAAATGTTTCAATTAATGTCCACACTGATGCACACAAAGATTTGAGGATCAGAAAGAAAATGCTAAAATGATGACAGAAGGAAGAAGAAATAGAAACGTTCAAGCAAAAGTTTCCACCCTTGAGGATACGTTTGCATTCCTTTTCCTTTTGTCTTTTTCAGTGATGGTTGCAGCAATGTATCATAAATGAAAGATTTAAGTTCAATTTTTGTGAGAAAAGCTTGCCTTTTATTTTATCACTTTGATGTCATTTATTGTTCTTATTATTATTCTTATGTTTCTGAAAATGAAGTTTATTAGAAACCATATATTTTGACTCATAGCTGCCATTTCTCCTATTGATAGTGAAGGAGTAGCTCACAACTAACTTTTCCTTTTACGCCAAATGCCTTTTATGGATCAATATGAACTCATACTGTGACAGGATTTAGATTAAGAGATTGAGAGATTATTTGACATTTTAATTGGAGATTTGCAAGTTATGATGATTACATTCTCCTATATATTGCTGAATCAAATATTTATGATCAAACGCAATGAATGATAATCAAGTATACACATTAATTATATGCCGACTCTCCCTTAGCATAATAATTAGAGTTAACCCTTTAAAGTTTTGAGTTTTAGTAAGTTTGTATTCATAATGTTCTCTTTTAAGTTTAAGGATATGGGTAGAAATGTTAATTTTGTTCATATTTAATAAAAAATTTGATTTTTTATTTTAATGAAAATAAAAATGAGTAGACATTATGTGGATTAAGATGAAGATAATGGTGTATATGATTTTAAATTTTTTATTAGTATAGGAATGAAAATGAATAATATAGCACCTATGTTGTACCTATACTCATACTTTACATATATATTTATACAAATTTAGTAAAAAAATTTTAATTAAATAATATAAATTATTATTTTAAATTAATAAGAATTAATACATTTTTATTTTAAAAATATTAATATATATTTATAAAAAATTATATAAATATGCAGATAAAAATAAAAAATAAAAAAATAATAAAATTTTATTTTTTAAAAGTTATAAGTACATAAATCATCCCATCTATTAAACATCAATGGGTATAAAAAAATTTAAAATATCTGTTGATTATAAATGTAAGAATGAATATAATATAAAAATATGAGAATAAAATGATAAATATCTACTCATCTTATGTCTTATCTATTAATTTTATAAATAAAATATTTAAAAATAGATTAAAAATTAAAAAATAGTAATATGAAATAAAATATATCACATTAGATCATTTTAACTTCTTTCAAAAAAAAAAAAAAAACCAAAGGAATTAAAAGAGAAAGAGAAATGAAAATCATGTGGCCTCCACTCTTGCTTTAATGGTGGGCCTCTTTACACGTAATCTCTCCGCCTTTCCTTTTCCACTACCCGCAATCCAAAGCAACAAGATCAATTCCTACCAAAGAATAAAGTAACAACGACACCACACACTCTCTTTCCACACCTTTACACTTAGATAGGAATCATAGGATGAAAAAAAAAAAATTCTTAATTTAAGTTATAAAATTAACGCACCTTACCATCGATTTGAAATTAAGATTGATGAGTATGTAATAAAGAAGATTGATACATCTAATATTATATTTTGTTTAGTTAAAAAAAAAACACATTATATTTTGTTCCCTTTTTTGTATTAACTCATAAGTTTATGTTGATCATTTTACAAAATCGATCAGAAAAATTTTCTTTTGTAGTATGAATTTTTTAATGAATAACTTTTATAAGTAAGTCTGGCTTTGATTATAAAATTAATAAAATTGATTTACAAATCTAAATTTAAGTTTAAAATCTAACTAAATGTCAAAGCAAATATAATAAATTTTAATAGATACTTCTTCTGTTGTAAACTTTTTGTCATATATTAATTTTTATGAAATTAATTTTTTTTATTTTAATATATTTAATATTAAAATTTAATTTTGTTATAAAATTAAAATTTCATGATTTTTAATGTTAAAAAATAAAAAATCATAAAAAATAATTTTAGATGTTAAAATTTTTTTGAGATATAAAAAAAAAAAGAACAAAAAAAATAGGATAAAAGAAATATATATTTGAGATTTGAAATTTTTAAAATTCACATAATTTATTAATATATTAAATATATATATATATATATAATCAATCGTAATGAATGAATTATCAAATTTGAATAATAAAAATTATGTTTAACTCATTTTTCTACCAATCAATTAAATAAAATTATTGAGCCATTAAAATTTAACATATCAATATTCATGGATTCACAATTTTTAATGTGGCAAAAATTGTTTTATATCAATTTCTTAGTGACATGTCTTCACTTGATTATTTAAGATTTTTATAATGGATTTGATAAAGAAGATTTACTCTATTATTTCTTCATTACTAAGTCACCCCAATTCGAAAATAAATCTTTTTGGTACTGAATCTGAAATTAAATTTGTAGAAAGTGAACTCAAATAATTTTCTCTTTGCCCACAAACAAAAGTCAACAAAAACAAATATTTCCTCTGCAAGTCTCACAACTACCATTCCCCACTAAATCAGACTGTCAGTTATTCTTTGTGTCTCTCACACCATAAATTCTCGTTTCTTTCGCAATTTCTTTTCCATTCTTTCAGGGAGAAGAAACAAAAAAGAAAAAAAAAAACCAAACAATGGCGAAACCGAAATTTTTATCTCTATTTTCTTTTTCCCTTCTCTTCCTCATTACCTCCTCCTCCTCGGCCGCTGCTTCCTCTATCTTGGACGACCGACGACTCGGTGGATCGAGTTTTCCTTCGCTGCATGCGAAGAAGCTGATAAGGGAGTTGAATTTGTTTCCTAAAGAGGAAGTAAACGTTGTTGATGAAGGCCGGGTTTCGTTACCCAAGGGTCCCAAGCTGGTTGAGAAGCGGTTCAAGTTCCCGAATTTGGCAGTGCCTGCTGGGGTTTCCATTGAGGATTTGGGTCACCATGCTGGGTATTACAAGCTTGTTAATTCTCATGATGCCAGGTAAAAATGAAATTTTGGAATTTTTTTTTTTAAATTGGGATGTTAGGTGGGTTTGTTTTGGGGGGTGAGGATTGTTTAATTTTAAACCCCTTGTTTTTGTATCTTAATTGGAGAAAGAGATGATTTTGTTACGTGGCTTTTTAGGTGAAATTTTGGATTTTTTGTTTCTTTTTGTGGGTTTAATAATTAAAACCCATGAATTGGATAATTAGGTGATTATTCTATGATTGTTTGTAGGTTAAATTTTGGATTTATAATTTGTTTTTTTCTTTTTTTAACCTTTTTGGGAGGGTGAAAATTATTTTGGGATGTTGTTTCGCCATTTTTAGTTTTCGGGTTTAATTTTATAATTAATAAAAGCCATGAATAAGGTGCTTATTACATTTTTTTGGCGAAATTCTTTCTTTATTCTTATGAATTGTAATTCATGGTTAAAGTTAAAATTTTGGAACGTTTCAAAATTTTGAATTCATCAGTGTGTCTTTTTTTTGGTATGTATTTGGTGATTTTATGTGACTTTCTGGGTTTAATCTCAAAACTCCTTACATGTATTTGGTTTTTGGTTGAAGTTTTGTGTGTAAATTCTCTTGATGCTTTGTAAAATCAAATTTCAATTTTTTAAGAAAATTTTTTAACTCCTTTCTTGATATAATTGTTTTATCTCGACACTAGAGTCCATAGAAATGTCTGTGCAGTTTAATGTTTTAGCTTCTGAATTTGGTGATCTTACAAGTTTTATGGGGTTTAACTTCAATGGTTACTCTAGGTGTTTGCTTTTTCATAGTTTCCACACGTAATCATGTTGTCAATAGCATGCTTTCCTGATTGCAGCTATCTTGTGAGCTGCAAGATTAGTTAAACCTTAAAATTGTACATGCATGCTTCATTTAATGTTCTATTCTATTATCAGTTTTACAGTCAATGACTTTTTTCTATATTTTAAATTATTTTTCTGAGATGAAGGAAAAATTGGTTTTTTAACTATTTTTGTGCTTACTTGCTAGATCCATCCCTTGCTTTTCACCCTCTAAATGTTACTTATATTTTCCTTTCCAATTTGGTTTGACGTCTTGCTGTTTTTGGCAGAATGTTCTACTTCTTCTTTGAATCACGCAATAGCAAAAAGGACCCTGTTGTAATCTGGTTGACTGGAGGACCAGGGTGTAGTAGTGAATTGGCTTTGTTTTATGAAAATGGCCCTTTCACCATTGCTGATAACATGTCTCTTGTTTGGAACGAGTATGGTTGGGACAAGGTACTTTATTCTTGATATTCTTCATTCTTTGGTATCTGGTATTTTCCCAATTAGTTGTCGCCCTGAACAATGTTTTTTTTTAATTTTTTATTTTTTTTATTTTCTCTTTTTCTTCTTTGCTTCTTTTTTTTAAAATTTTTTTGTTGTAGGCATCAAACCTTCTGTATGTGGACCAACCTATTGGTACTGGCTTTAGTTATAGTTCTGACAGAAGGGACATTCGTCATAATGAAGATGAAGTTAGTAATGACTTATATGACTTCTTACAGGTTAGTTTGTTTATCCTTGCGTCTTGTTCTAGAGCAGGAGTTTAGATTAACTTTATTTTCTATGGAATTATTTATTGTCAATGTTGTGAAAAGTGAATGAACATTATTCAATATTTTGAGTAGAAATGAATAAATTTGTTGGTTTGACCATGCTCTTTTTATTATGTTAGGCATTCTTTGCAGAACACCCTGAGTTTGCAAATAATGACTTTTATATAACTGGAGAATCATATGCCGGACACTACATTCCAGCTTTTGCTGCCCGAGTCCACCGAGGAAACAAAGCTAAAGATGGAATTCATATAAAATTAAAGGTGTATTACTAATCGTATGATGTCAAGCTTAGTAATTTCTCAAAGTTAAAGTTGTCTGGAATCAATTCCATTTGCTTACTTCAACTACAATGCGGTTAATAGGGATTTGCTATTGGTAATGGCCTGACTGACCCTGCAATCCAGTATAAAGCTTACACAGATTATGCTTTGGACATGGGGGTAATTAAGAAGACTGACTATGATCGTATCAACAAGCTGATTCCGGTTTGTGAAATGGCAATAAAGCTTTGTGGTAATGTTGCATCTGAAATGGCTTCCTCTTTCCCTATGATCACTCTCTACATTTTTATATCTTTTGTTTCAAACTTCAAAGCTTGGATGTATTAATTGATGCTCTTTTTTTTTTTCTCTATTTTGCATTATAATTCATATGATACGTCACAGATTGAATCATTACTACTTGTCTCATTATGCTTTTTCTTCTTTTTTTTTTTTTTTGGAAATAAAAATTTTTCAGGCACTGACGGTACAATCTCTTGCATGGCTTCATATTTTGTCTGCAATACCATATTCAGTGGCATCATGGCACTTGCTGGTGACACAAATGTAAGAAACATGATTTTTTTAAGAAAATTTATTAGGTGTCTTGTTCACATTTTTTCTATGTTATCATTTATTGGATTATTTGCTTCGCTCACACATTAAAATTATCTTTTAATGCTTAAAAACTTATTTTATGAATTTTTGCATAAACAACTTCTTGTTCTTGTTCTGGTTGTAATATCCTGTAAAGTAGAATGTGCTTCTTTTCTTGGCATTATCAAACTTTATATAAAAAATTTGGAGTAACAATTTTGTGCAAACAATGTAATTTGCCTGATCAGAAAAGGGAAAATAATGTTTATTAATGTTAGAGTAGGGCCTGAAATTGGTCTTCATGTCATTGATTTTCTTCTTTCTTCAGAAAATTTTCTTTATGAGCAAAGGATACCTAGAAATTCTTTTCCCTTTGTTAAGCCACTTATCTATAACTAACTCTTTGCTGCAAACAAGCTGTTCAGAAGAGTAACATGGTGACCTGATACCTTATGATTCTTTGAATAAAAATTTAACATGCAGCAATGTTTTCTGTCTTGCAGTACTATGACATTAGAAAGAAATGCGAAGGGAGCCTTTGCTATGACTTCTCAAACATGGAGACACTTCTGAACAAGAAATCCGTTAGGGATGCCCTTGGTGTTGGGGATATAGACTTTGTATCCTGCAGCCCTACAGTGTATCAGGCCATGCTGGTCGACTGGATGAGGAATCTTGAAGTTGGCATTCCTGCTCTTCTTGAGGATGGAATCAAGCTTCTTGTATATGCTGGGGAATATGATCTCATCTGCAACTGGCTTGGTAAGTATATTTTTTGTTTCATGAGTTAGGGATAAGAGCATATTATACTGGATACGTTTAGCTAATTAGATTGTGAATCTGTATCTGGTCATATTATTGAACAGGCAATTCAAGATGGGTTCATGCAATGGAATGGTCTGGTAAGAAGGAGTTTGTAGCATCTTCTGAGGTTCCTTTTGTAGTTGATGGTGCAGAAGCAGGAATTTTGAAGACTCACGGACCTCTTGGCTTCCTTAAGGTCTTCTCTCTTCTACCAACCCTAGCTATTGCCTGCGTCTTTAATACAGTTTATAGCGAATAGTTTGCAGCCGGTGCTGATATAGCTGTGTGATAATCTAACAGGTTCACGATGCGGGTCACATGGTTCCTATGGACCAGCCGAAGGCAGCATTGGAGATGCTGAAAAGATGGACCAAGGGTACACTTGCTGAGGCAGCAGATTCAGAGAAACTGGTTGCTGAGATGTGATTTCCATTGGACACTCCGCTGCTTTCATTCAATCTAGTTGGCCTTAGAATGGGAATAACCATAGTAAAATCTGTGGGGTTTCTGCATGACCCCCCAAAAGAAAAAAGTTTCTTTGAATGCCTGTAAAAATTTGCATCTGGTTATCTTGGTTTTCCGAAGATTTCCTACTGAAATGAATCAAGGAGTTTTCAAACATTTCTTAGCTGCTGCTTATTTGTGTAGTTGATTGAGTATATGTTAATTATGTTATTTTTTTGTATGTTTTTTCATGTAACTTCCATTGTTCTCACGTGTCTCAGATCAGTTGTCAAATAAGTATATCTAAGATTGAGACTTCAAATTCCAATTTCAAAGACATTTTTCTCTTAGCATTTTTTATTACAATTTTATAATTACAACAAAAATTATGTAAATATTTATTATTTATAAATGTGAACTTAGCATAATATTATATTAGATATTATATAATTTTAAATTGTGATTGTTTAATTATAATATATTAATTATAGATAAACAAATATAGTTTGATTTTTAAAAAATAAAAAATATTTTAGTGTAAAATTAAATCTAATTTACTTATACACTCTTTTTACTCGAATTGAATTTATTTATTTTTTTTGTATTTTAGCATATTATTAAAAAACTTTGAACTTGTAAATTTTTAAAAATAAGATACACCAATTATAAATTTTAAATTTGCAAAACCTATTTTTTTTTTTAATTTAACTTAATATAATATTTTCAAAAAAATTTAAAATAATGTTCAAAATTAATTGCTTTAGGGAAAAAAAATGAAACAAGGGGAGTAGGAAAAAAAGACGACATATAGAGTGTGACGGTCGGACTTGTGGTTAAAAGAAAAAACAAAAAAACGCAATTGAATTGACTCATTGAAATTGAACGGACGCCGATTTCATTAAAAAAAAAAAAGGAATTTGAACGGCGGTTATCTCTAGCGATGGCTCGCCCGACGGCGACGAGCACAACTACCAGACCTTTATCATCGACCTCCTCCGTGACCACCACCGTGACGATCGAGAACAACTCAGGTGCCTCCTCCTCGTCGCAACCTCAAGAAACCCTCGTCCTCGCACTCCGCCCCAGGAAAAAGAAAGTTACGTGGAAAAAAGGAACCGTCGACAACGAGTTCATGAACAAGAAAAGCTCCAAGATCTGCTGCGTTTTCCATAAAGAAAAGCCTTTTGATGAAGACGACAGTGATGATGACGCTCATGATCATCATCATCATCATCATCCATCCATCCAACGGCCTTGATTCCTCCAAGGATAGCTGCAGACCCAGCACCGGCTCCTGATTTTGCTTTGCATATGTGTTTTTATGACCTTTATTATGGATGTAATGAGCAAATTTCATGATATTCTATAAGGTTGATTTTATATATTTTGTTTTAGATAAATCGTTTTGATTATTAATATTAATATTAATATAGATAATTGGTACGACGAATTAACATGTGATAGCTAACGATGAACTTGACCTAAGTTACTGCTGAACAAAGATTAATGATTTGCCTAATATCTGGGGATGAGTTGAGAGATTTATCATTTTATATGTGCTTATAAAATCAGTTTCTACTGGTTGATGACCCAACTTTTTACATGTTATTTCTGCTTACTGCTAAGTTAAATTTGTCCAAGAATTCCATCATCAGGAGACTAAAGGTATGCTTCATAACTCTGTTTTGTGATATGCATGTTGAATAATCTGTTTTGCTAGGATACATAGCAAAACTAGGTAATTTGCCTGACATTGTTTTTCACTGCTACTTTTAGATTCTGTTTGGTGGGAAGGAAAGAAAGAGTAGGAAGGAAAACATTTTAATCTAATGAGAGCTACAAAATAGTACATGTTGTGATGTAGCTCAAACATTAAAGTGAGATAGAGGTCTCTATCCCTGTTAGCCGTTGATGGGATAGTGGGGGAATCAAATTAAGAACATGTAACTAACCATCCTGAAATATTGATTCCATTTTTATTTGTAAGTACATTAAGCCAAGAAACAAGATTTTGGTGTCCGGTGTCTGTTGGTATTTCTACAATTTAGATTCAAAATGGCCTCCCTCTTTTCTCTTTATCCTCTCTCATCTCAACCCATTTGCTCTGTTAACTTAAACTCAACGCAGTCTCCCTCTTTTCTCTTTGTCCTCTCTCATCTCAACCCATTTGCTGTGTTACCGCCTCCACTCAGCAAAGATTCTTCGATCTCGAGCCCGCCATAAGCTCAACGCCCTCTTTCTCAGTAGACTCAGGCACTTTTCTTTTTAAAGATTCTTCCATTCTTTTTTTTTTCATTTTCTTTCTGTTTCAATTTTTATGAATTGGGTTTTCTTTGTTTTTTGTTTTAACGGTTTCCATCAGTTTCACAAGATGGCAGCAGAGGGAGGCAAGAGCTATGCAAGAAGAGATAAACTGGAAATCGAGTCAAAGGTTAGAGTTTGGTGGGAAGAAAAAGATGTATTTAATGCAGAACCTTGTGAAAAACCTCCTCAACCAGGTGAAAAGTTCTTTGGGAACTTTCCTTTTCCTTATATGAATGGTTTTTTACATCTGGGTCATGCCTTTTCGCTTTCGAAACTCGAGTTTGCTGCTGCTTACCATAGACTAAGAGGCGCTAATGTGTTATTACCTTTTGCTTTTCACTGAACTGGTATGCCAATCAAGGCTTCTGCTGATAAACTTGCTAGAGAAATCCAACAATTTGGTGATCAACCCATATTTCCCTATGAGGTAGTGGACGAGGAGCCTAAATCAACAGAAGAATCTGACCCAAATGAAGGTGCCAAAGTAGCACCTGATAAGTTTAAAGGGAAATAGTCTAAAGCAGCATCTAAATATAGTGGACAGATGTTTCAATGGGAAATCATGAGGAGTTTTGGATTTTCAGATAGTGAGATATCGAAGTTTCAGAACCCATATGAATGGTTGAAATTCTTTCCACCATTGGCTGTTCAAGACCTTAAGGCATTTGGATTAGGTTGTGATTGGAGAAGGTTGTTTGTGACTACAGATATCAATCCTTTTTTTTATATTCATTTGTTAAGTGGCAGAGGAGGAAGTTGAAATCAATGGGTAAGATTGTTAAAGATATGAGGTATACAATATATTCTCCCTTGGATGGTCAGCCATGTGGTGATCATGATAGGGCCACTGGTGAAGGAGTTCAGCCTCAAGAGTATACTATTATTAAAATGGAAGCGGTGGCACCTTTTCCAGCTAAAAATCATGTTTTGGAAGGGAAGAAAGTGTTTTTGGCTGCTGCAACATTGAGGCCTGAGACCATGTACAGGCAAAAAAATTGCTTGGTATTGCCTGATGGGAAATACAGAGCCTTTGAAATCAATGAATCTGAGATATTTATTCTGACAGAGAGAGCTGCACTCAACCTTGCTTATCAGAGGCTCTCCCCCGTCCCTGAGAAGCCTACTTGCTTAGTTGAGCTGACCGGTTATGATCTGATTGGTCTTCCTGTTAAGTCTGCTCTCTCATTTAACGAGATCATATATGCTCTTCCATTGTTGACGATTCTAACTGACAAAGGTACATGAATCGTGACAAGTGTTCCTAGTGATGCTCCTGATGATTATATGGCCTTACATGATTTGAGAGCAAAACCTGCTTTTCAGGCAAAGTTTGGGGTGAAAGATGAGTGGGTATTGCAGTTTGAGATTGTACCCATCATTGACATTCCAGAATTTGGAGACAGGGCAGCTGAAAAGGTTTGTGTGGATCTGAAAATAGAAAGTCAGAATGAGAAAGACAAGCTTGCCGAGGCAAAGAGGTTGGTGTACTTGAGAGGTTTTACTGAGGGAACCGTGATTGTTGGAGAATGTGCAGGAAGAAGAGTCCAGGAAGCTAAGCTGCTGATAAGGAACAAATTGATTGAGATGGGCCAGGCAATAATTTATAGTGAGCTTGAGAAGAAGGTCATGGCAAGTTCTGGCAGTGAGTGTGTTGTAGCTCTTACAGATCAATGGTACATAACATATGGGGAACCAGAAGGGAAAAAACTAGCTGAGGAGTGCCTATCCAGCATGGATCTTGACTCTGATGAGACACGACATGGCTTTGAACATACTTTAGGATGGCTGAACCAATGGGCTTGCTCACGATACTTTGGGCTTGGGACTCACATTCCTTGGGATGAAGAATTCCTCTTTGAGTCAGTATCTGACTCAACCATTTACCTGGCTTATTACACAGTTGCTCATCTTTTACAAAATGGGGAGGTGTATGGAAAAAGTGCTGATATGATTAAACCTGCCCAGATGACTGATGAGGTCTGGGAATTTCTCTTCTGTGGTGGTCTGTATCCCAAATCTTCTGATATCCCACGCATTATTCTTAATAAGATGAAGCAGGAGTTTGAATACTGGTATCCATTTGATCTAAAGAGTCTCTGGGAAAGACCTTATCCAGAACCATTTGACATTTTGCATCTACAACCACACAGCAATCATGTCCAAGGATCACTGGCCTCGTGGATTCAGGTGCAACAGACATATTATGCTCAATTCGGAGAAGATGTCCAAGTCTACTGGAAATTTCTGGACACTGCGCCAGGCAATTGAGGAATTCTCTGCTGATGCTACAAGATTCTCTTTGGCTGATGCTGGGGATGGCGTAGATGATGCAAACTTTGTGTTTGAAACAGCCGATGCTGCAATCTTATGGCTTACGAAAGAGATTGCATGGATGGAAGAGATTCTGGCTGCAGAATCTTTGAGGACAGGTCCCCCATCTACCTATGTTGATCGGGTGTTTGAAAATGAGATAAACATCGCTATCAAAATGACTGAGCAGAATTACCGGGATTACATGTTTCTGGAGGCTCTCAAAACTGGCTTTTATGATCTTCAAGCTGCCAGAGATGAGTATAGGTTCTGTTGTGGCGGTGGGGGCATGAAATGTGACCTTGTATGGCACTTTATTTTTGTATAGGTTCTGGGCTTATTACTCCAATCTGCCCTCACTATGCGGAGTTTGTATGGAGAGAGCTTTTGAAGAAGGATGACTTTGTGGTGAAATCAGGCTGGCCCACAGCAGATTCTCCGGATCTAAAACTCGAGTGCCAATAAGTATTTGCAAGATTCCATTGTGTTGATGAGAAAGCTGCTCCGGAAGCAGATTTTGGGCTTGAAGAAAGCTAATGAGAAAGGGGCTCCAGTTACATCACTAACTGAGGACAAGTTAAAAGGCCTAATTGTTGTGAATGAGCAATTTGATGGATGGCAAGCAGAGTGTTTGCAGATTCTCCAAAGCAAGTTCGACAATAAGACCCGTACTATTGCATCAGATGGGGAGATAAAGAACGCATTACAGGAGAGCACTTTTGGTCAGGCAGTGGACTTTAAACAGATCCAGAAACGTTGTATGCCATTCTTGAGGTTCAAGGAGGATGAGACTATAAAAATTGGTGCCCAAGCTGCCCTTTGGAGAGATTGAGGTCCTTCAGGAGAACTTGGACTTGATCAAAAGACAACTTGGTCTTGGAGAGGTAGAAGAATTGTCGGCCACTGACTCTGATTCTTATGTTCAAGCTGGTCCTTTTGCATCCCTGCTAAAGCAAAATTCTCCGTCCCCCGGAAATCCTGCTGCCATCTTTCTGTCAATGTGAAGGAACTTTATCATTTTAGCATCTATGTTTTATCTTGAGGAATGGTTTTTTTTTTTTTGGTTGGACTATTTCGTATTAGATGTTCTAAGTTTGTATTTTCTGAACATTGACGTGTGCTTCTCTGCGTCTATGTATCTAATTGGGTTTTGAACAGCAGATGGTCGTTTTTTACTTTAATGAAAACGGAGTTTATTGCTGTCTGCAGGTAAACAAATTTGTTCAAGAAATGTTGCATCAAAATGCTGTTGTGAGAGTATATTTTTCAGTCAGAAATTTGTCATTGAAGCAAAAATATTTTCGTGCTATCTGGATCAGATTGCTAGTCTTTCTCGTAGGTTGTATTTCCAGTTCTATATATCTGCCTTTACTGAACCAATGAGTATTTTTTCTATTTTGTGTTGCTTTTAAAGTCATTTTCTTTCCTTTTTATCTTTTCTCTTTGATAGTGCTTGGTACGAGGTAATCATTAAAAAAATTATAATAATTTACATACATCCTTTTTGGTAAACACTTTGTGATTTTATATGACAGTGATATTGAATAATCAAGAGTGATAAGATAATTCAAGAGTGATCAAATAATTATTTTGAAAGATAATTTAATTTTTATTTAAAAAGATGAAAAATTTTTATCATTGAGATGAAGTGATATCTAAAACTAATAATAGTTAATATTATACATTTAATAGGTGAATTAAAATTTTGATTCCTTTTACAATTGTAATCATTTTATATTATAAATTTTTATATTTTCAAATTAATATTCATTATAATAAGTTCAAA